CTCGATCAGAGGTCTTGCTACCGTATGTAGTTTATCGCCATACTCAGGACTGATATTTTATAAATAATTCCCTAGACTAAACACATTTGAAGCACTTTCTAAATAACACATACACACTACGATGAAGAACTTATATATAAAAAAAAAACACTTTTGTATGAAAAGCTAAAAACATTGACAATAATTATTTCTGCCATCATCCTTTAGAAATCACACCTCGAACTTTTGTCTAAGGTGGCCAAGTCTGCTAACAAAATGTCAGTAATAACAATTTTCCTACCATTATTCTCGTACGCGATAGAAATATTCATGGCGATACAAACCAACCATTTCTAATATTTTTCATCCTCAAGTACATCAATAATTTACGGTTGAACAAAACAACTAATTAACTTCTATTAATTCATAATGTTCCCTATTGTTTTGATGGACTTCAAAGTGGTATTCTTTTGTTGCAATTATTAACCTTTTCTCGCTTTCACTGTCAATTACAGTCTTCCATACTTGATGCTTTATGTGTTTTAATGACAGCTGCGTTGATGTGTCTCGTATTTTTCTCGCCCAAAATTAACGCATCAAAAATCTTTATTATTATTATTATTATTATTATTATATCAATATATAATTAATTTGTTCAGTCTGGCACAAGGCCATAATGATGAGCATCAGGGTCACTATACTGTTTTGTGAGTCACTGTCCAACAGTTTACAGTGAAGCGCTCAAGCGACTTATGTGAAAAATCAATTCGTCAATTGATGAGTAAGGAACAAGCACATCAACATTTCCTGGGGTCATCAGTCCAACTCTTACACGTTCAAAATAATAGTAATTACTCTTATAATGAACTAATTGGTTGACATTTGTAACAACAAAAACGACACGCCGTTGTGTCGTTTTGGTTAGGGCAATACTACTTAAATTCTCTTGGAGAATAAAATAATTTAAATCATGTCGTGCCACCAGATTCTGATTAATGTTTAATTAAGTATAAACACAAGAAATCTCTGTTAACACGAGACATTGCATGAGTAATAGTATCTTGAGCACGTAATGCTTAGCAACCTTGTCTCACCAGATCAATTACGACGGAGTAGTGAGTTCGATCCTCACTGGATACTATACATTTTCGGTTTGTACCACATCTAAGCTACGCTTAGAAAATCATTTTGGGGTCACTTTGACGTGATGTAATGGATAGCAAGTTTATCTCGCGAGAACAGTTACGACTGACTGGTGTTCGATCCTCACTGTGTGCCCCATACTTAGAAAATCAACACAAGTCATAGTAACCCTGTCTATCATTTGTCGATGTAGTAATATATATATATCATTAGATGGGAAAAGACTGGTGTGTATATACTCTGGTTGATAGGGGATGTATTCTAGACGAACCTATCTGACAGCCAGGGTATAAACTGGCCTAACCCAATTCCTATCCCGAGTAGGAAATAGCCTTACCTAGAATAACATTTGGGCTGCTTTCATTCGGAATCTATGGCACATGTTCCACAGCTGCTCTGAATTCGGCCGATCATGGCAAGGAATGAAATTGCAAGTGGGAAGAATTAATGTAAAAAGATTGTATCGCGCTCTTTTCTTTCAGAGTTTGAGACTGCACGCCTAGAAAATCAGCATTCGAAATGCATTTTTTTTTTACGTAAGCTCGAACACCGAAAGCTGGGAAATAAGCACTTGTCTCAGCCCCCAAAGCAGGCCGTTCAATATTTAATCTTAGCATATCACAAGACAAGTAAAAATGTGCGCTGTGTTAATTTCAGAAGTAATTGTGAAAGAATCTACCTGCCTATAAAATCAGTATTCAAAATCCTCGTTTGAGTTCAGTCCTTAATCATGATCGATCTCATAGTATTGTTTTGTTTTTCAACTCTTCAGTCTTAAGTAAAACAGGAACTACAGGCAAACATAGCTGGAATTTCTGAGACATATAATGAGGAAAGAGCGTCCGAAGAATTTAACACTCACGGGACATAAAAGAAAAGCAGGGTTAAGCAGCAAGCAACCTACTTAACAAGTTTGTGTGAATAGATGCCAAAAGAAGGAAACGAGGACAATGGGATAAAGTGTAAGATGCTATTAAAAGAAGAGGTATGGAAGTTGTGGAGAGTTATAATCATCTGAGTTGTGAAAGAAATGACATAAAAGAGGTCTGTAATAAAATGACAGAAGAGAAAGGAGGTGAGGGTCAAATCGACCTTTCTCGTGTTTAAAAAAGAAATGAAGGGATCACTTCGTCGTCAAGATGGCTTGAAGAGAAAACTGAATTATTAAAGTTAAAGATGAAAGAAAATATCTTTTAAAATACCACGCCCCCACCAAAAAACCCCCCAAAAACAAAAAAACATTGTCATAATTTTTTTGTTTGGCCTCATATTCTGAATAATTTCTCAAACTTTTAAAAGACGTTTTTCTCGATCCCTAACGAAAATAGGCGTGTCTCTAAAAATGTTTCAAAAGACAATCAAATTCAAGTGTTTCTTTTTATTCATCTTGATATGAATAGAAAGCAAAGATAACAGAAAAAAAAATACGATGACACAAAATATAGCAAGGCTTCGTTTATTTATATTTTGCGGGGGCGCTGAAAGACGTCAGTCGGGGGGTCACGTACGCGCATTCATATTAGTAAATGTGCAAACGAAAAGGATTTTTTATTGTCTCATCTATTTTGAGGGGGAAGAGACCGACAAAGGGAACCCCGAAATAACTTCGAAACGGACCAACGGAACAGAAGAGGCGGCAAAAGAAACAGAAAAACAAAAACATTACTTTAGAATTTTGAGATGAATGAAGCCAGATAAACTTTGCGCGCGCATGCGTGCGTGCGTGTGTGTGTGTGTGTGTGTGTGTGTGTGTGTGTGTGTGTGTGTGTGTGTGTGTGTGTTTATTAAGACTGGGGGGGATTGTAATAGTGGCGGCAGTACAAACGCGTGTCTTATGTATCTAAGCGAGAGAGTTGCGGGTAAAATAAGGGAGGGATCCTGAATGGTTGAATGAAAGCGACAGAGTGAGGGCAAGTCCCACACCCACGAAAAGAAAAAAAAAACAACAAAAAAAAAGTTACAGGATGAATGGGTTTGAAACTTGATCCCTTCTTCCTCAGGAACTGTGAACTAAGAGTTATTCATTTTTATACGGATGAAGTCCTGTACCCGGCTTTGAGTCCCTGTGAGTACTAACATCGTGTGTACACACAGAGTTAAGTAACTTTACACACACATTAGAAAATGTATAAAAAAAATACATTAAAAAAGTAATAACAATAATGGAAGAAAGGAGGAACAAAGTCTCTAAGTTTGCAAAAAGAAGATGGAACAGATTTCTTTCTCCTTTCTCAACCAGCTGGGCCCTCTCTAGAAAGAAAGAGAGAGATAAGATGACTTGATATTGGCACGCTTAACGCACACGTCATGTCTATCTGTCCAGGCGCCTTCCGGAGCGCGGCAGTTCGCAAGCTTGTCTTGTGGACCAATTCGCTCGCGTGCCTTGTGCGTGCCCCACCGGATGTCTTGCTAAAACAGCATTATTCCCGCGCTATGTCTCGCCTGGGCGCACGCGATGATGGCTCTCGACGACTACCTTACTTTTGCTGTTTCCTGTTCGAGAAGTTTTGAAAATAAGTATAGTCTTGCAGATAAATTCGTACATGTAGAGAGAGAGATATATAGAGAGAGTCAGAGAGAGAGAGATATATATATAGAGAGAGTCAGAGAGAGAGAGAGAGAGAGATAAAAAAGAGACAGAGAGAGAGATAAAAAAGAGACAGAGAGAGAGAGAGATAAAAAAGAGACAGAGAGAGAGAGATAAAAAAGAGACAGAGAGAGAGATAAAAAAGAGACAGAGAGAGAGATAAAGAAAGAGACAGAGAGAGAGATAAAGAAAGAGACAGTGAGAGAGATAAAGAAAGAGACAGTGAGAGAGAAACAGACAGACAGCGAAAGACAGAGAGAGAGACAGATAAAGAGATAGATAGAAATAGAGATAAATAGAGAGAGATAAACAGACAGATATTTAGAGACAGACAAATAGCGAGAGAGAAAGACAGAGTTAAAAATGAAAGAAAAAATCTTTTTAAATACCCCCCCCCCGCCAAAAAGAAACACTGTGTAATTATTTTTTTGTTTGGCCTCATATTCTGAATAATTTCTCAAACCTTTTAAAAGACATTTTTATCACACCCTGAGTACCCAACAACTGTAGCCTTTTGCCAAACAGCTAAATACAAGGCTATTGGAAAGTAACTCCCTATTTTATGTACGATGGACTCTCCCGTCTAACTATAATTTTTATACAATGGAAAAGTCCATTATACATAAAATAAGGAGTTACTTTTCAATCACCATGTATATTCAATAAATATAGATAACGTTTAATAATTCGCCCAATAATTAGCGAAATCTTGTCGTGGGCCAATTCGGTTTACCAGCAACTAGTAGTGATTTTCCAAGCGTAGCTTGGATGTGGCACAAGGCCGAAAGTAAGAGGCACCCAGTGAGGATTGAACTCACTACTCAGCCGTAATTGTTCTAGCGAGACAAGCTTGCTAACCATTACGCCACCTCGAGGTTCCCTCAATTCTAGTTTAGATGTAACATATGAGTGAAAGTTTGGCGCATCCAGTAAGGATAGAACCTACTACTAAACTTAGTCGTAACTGAGTTAACGAGACCAGCTTACTAACCATGGCACCACGTCGTCGAAGTGGCCCAATTCTAACTAGGTGCCTTGATACTACGGCCTTTTATTATATTTATCACGGCAAGAATCGACTTGAAAGTCAAATCATATAGGTAAAGGAACTGGGGTTTAGACGACAAAGAGTTGGGTTTTTCTCGGATGGGTGAGGAAGAAGAGTTGGGTGGAGTGACTGTCGGTTGGCAGGCGTCGTGGACGTGGCGCGCTCTCTATCTCTTTTACACCAGACACATGGCACCAACGAGATCAAATTAAGCTGCGTGTTTCTGAAGAGGACCATGCCGTAATGTTGGCGGTGTGGCTGGCACATGCCCGCTTCTTTTTCTTAACTTCTTCACCCTCACTCAACATTTTCCACGGCCTCCCGACTCGCTCTCCCTTTATCTCTGTTCTGCTCATCCAACCCAAGTCCCCCCCACTTGCTCTTATCCTTAACCACAACTGCCGCGTTTCGCTTTTTCGACCCACTTCTCGCTCATTTTCTACCAGTATTTCCCACGAGCCTCATCCACTATTTTCAGGAACTGGCCTGCCACTCAACAAAACTTTTCTCTCTATTTATCTCTCTATTTATCTGTCAATCTCTCTCTCTGTCTCTCTCTCTCTCATTCTCTCTCTGTCTCTCTCGCTCTCTCTCTCTCTCTGTCTCTCTCGCTATTTGTCTATCTCTATTTCTATATATCTATTTATCTATCTGTCTGTCTGTCTGTCTCTCTTTCTCTATCTGACTTTCTCTATATCTCTCTTTTTCTCCCTTTAACTAACTCTCTATCTGTCTCTCGTTTTGTGCCTTGATACTCATTCGAAGGATGGCGCGACAGTTACCGGTACAGAAAGTGAAATCGGCGCGCCGTGTTCAATTTCAGGTTGATACTGCTCCATTCACTTCACGCTGATGCCGTTGGAAAAGGCATGAATCCAGCTGTAAGGAAAAATAGCAGTGTAGACTGGGCTCTCTTACTTTAAGGAGGCAACTAGTTTCGGAGAAGAAAAACTGAATTCAAAACAAGCCTGAAGAGGGGGTGAGTTCTGTCAGGCTACCTTACTCTAGCTACACCCAATGTTGTTGCTGTACATGAGTACCCCTGCAACCCTTATCGTTTCTGGGACTCGAGATGTGATTCACTCTGAAAAATCTTCCTTCTTCTTTTCTCACTCTTTTTTTTAAATTTTAAAGATTATCTCTCCGTCTTTCTTACTTTCTCTTTTTATCGTTTTTTAAAATTGGTTCACTGTGTCGTTCGACAGAATCTATCTTACACATTTATAAGTCTACAATTCGTCCGTATATTTAATATTGCTATCATATCTGGTCTGGTGCTTCTGCAATTTATCTAGAGATTCTTGAAAAAAGAATCTGTAATGTTATCGGTCTTTATCTGGCATCTCGGTTTCAGTCATTTTTTCCATCGCTGTAACATAGCTTTTCTCTAAATATTTTCACGGTAATTACTCTGATGAGCCTTCCTCTTTAGCACCTTGATTTCATAAATTTAAGGTCAGTACTAAAATGGCAGTTCGGTCTCATAATTTTACAGTTGAAATCGCTCGATGTAACCTTAAGTTCTATGATAATAGTTTTTTCTCCCGCAATTTTCGCTTGTGGAACTCTCTTCCGGTTTATTGCTCTCCTGTCAACTTCAACAATTTTTAAATTCATGTCGCTCATCATCATCATAAGTTTCCTTGAATTATGTTCTTTTATTGTATTTTCTCTTCGATAATGTTTTTCTTATATTCTTTCACTCTCAGTAAACCCTTGTATCTTAGTGGCTTTGTTACCTTACTTAGAGTAAAAAGAAAAAAAAAGAAAGAAAAAACGATGACGTGAGAAAGAGAGCTCAATCTTTCTCTTCTCTGATAAGTTTCGTTTATTCTGTTAAAAATATGTAGCATCCAATGAGGACTGAAGTGAAAATACACTCAAGATCTCTGACACAACGTTTCTAATCATTACTTCGTAATCGGCGATCTATGTTACTCACCCGAGTACAGTACGACACAAGAATACCCGAGTGAGCATTGTACTCAATCTAGAAGGTTGTAAATGTGTTTCCTCCTGACTGAGTGTGTGGAGTAATGGATAGTGCCTCGGACGGAGGAATCGGATAGCCGAGTTCGAATTCCAGTCGAATCTACTACATTCACTTACGTGCATGGAAAAGGTATGAATCCTCTTGTTCTCCTTCTAGCTATAGGTAAATAGCAAGACAGATCGGGTTCTATAGTCTTGGATAGAAACTGGTCTACCGCAGAAAGAAATGGCAACCTACTGCGGGAAAAAATCTGCCTCGTCAGTCATGTATCAAAAGATACGTGATCGCCTAATCGTGTATCACGTATGACTCATAACTGAAGTACAGTGTAACCCGGATATAAGATTGTTGTCGGGACTGGAGAAGAAGTCTCTTATATCCGGGTTTGGTCTATTTTATATACATTAACACAGGCTCTAATTTGGGACCAGAGAAAATCTCTTTTATATCCGGGTTACACTGTACCAAGCTTCGATCGTCCTTGAGACCAACTTGCTAACCATTGGTTAACATCATCCAACAGTTCTTTTTTCGTTTTTGTTAGTTGTTTTATTCGCTATTAATTCTCTCTTTCTTTTTCACCTTTGATCTCGTTCCATCGCTACCTAAAAATACACCCTCCCCTTTCTTTCTCTCAAGTAACTAATCTAGATTCATGTCTTTTTCTCTTTTGTCAAGCAAACTTTTAACACTAGTTCTCAGCCAGACTTTTCTTTTCTCACTCTCTTGTCAAACTGCTTTGGCTTTCTCTCTTTCATAGTTCACATTTACCAAAAAGTATACACACTTTCTCACAGTCATATTTGTTTTGAACATCTCTGTGTATATTTCTCTCCCACCCCTTCTTTCTTTACCTATTAGTCTCGACTTACATATTTTTTTTCCTCTTGTTATCAAACTTCCCGCCCAACCTTCTTCCTACGCACACTCTCTCTGTCTCTATACCAATTTGACAGAGATCTCTCTCTCTCTCTCAACTCAATCTTTTCGGGTCCTTTTCTTCTTTTCGACTCAGCTCGACCCAACTCCATCTCTCCCCCTCCCTCATTCTGACTCAATTCAGTCACACTCCTCCAACTAAAGGTCTCTCTCTCTCTCTTTCTTTTATCTACTAGACCAAATCTTTTTTATCACTTGCTGCCCCTCCCTCCACCCGTACACAATTTACGAGTCCCGCCTAATCCTATCTCTCTCTTTGTCTCTCCTAGTCCCTCTTCCCCAACTCCGACACTGACTGCCGGGAGCCCGACACTGGTTGAACGTAGAAATAGAAGTAACGACGCAAGGCGGCACCGCCCGTAGACAGAAAACTGGGAGGCGGCCCGGTAAAACCCCGCAGATGCTAAACCTCTCTCTAATTAGTTCTGTCACATATTCTGATGACACTAACACGATGATTCATTAGCCTTTATATTTATCTTTTTTCCCCCCTTCGAAAGGGTCTTAATAGATCCCTTCTTACGGTTTGCAAGTTTACAACATTATCGTTATGGAGTGTTGGCGCGCTGAAATTTGGTCAGAAAAATACACACAAAACATACACTTAGAATGTACACACTATTATTTGTTATTATTATTATCTGTGTACGCATTTTTATTTGTATAGTACGTAGCCATGATGATTAAGGTCTCCTTTAAAATACAAGATAAAATACTAATTAACTTAAGCGTCTGCTACCATGCAAAACGTTTCAGCAATAAAGCCACTAAGACGCAAGGGGATTATTGAGTGAGAAAAATATGAGAAAAAGAAAAATAAGAGTTATAAAAATAAGAGAACAGGAATTAAAATAACGATTGGCATAGTAATTAAATGATCAAAGTTTGACTGGAATGTCGGAAGAGAGCTCCACAAGCAAGAAATGCGAAACTTAGCATAGAATTTACGGTTGCATCGAACCATTTCAACTTTAAGATGATGGGACCTCGCCGCCAATCTAGTACTGCGCTTAAATTTAATTTACAAAAAAGGTAGAGAGAAGCTACGTTTCGGCGGTTGGAAAATGTCTGAAGCCGAGATAGCAGATCAGGACCAATAACATTACATATTCTTCTTTGTTTTTTTCTCAAGAATCTCTAAATGTATAGCAGAAGCACCACACCAGATATGGCATCAATATTCAATGTATGATAGACTTATAAATATGTAAGACAGAGCAGGCACGGTGGAGTAATGGATAGCGGCTCGGATTGAGGAATTGGAAAATTCGAATTGCAGTCGAATCTATTTACTTACGTGCTAATACCCTTGGGAAAGGTATGAATCCTCTTCTCCTTCCAACTATGGGTAAATAGCAGGGCAGACCGGGTTCTATAGCCTTGAATGACAACTGGTCTACCGCAGAAAGAAATAGCAATCTATTGCAGGAAAAAATCTGCTTCGTCAGTCATGTATCAAAAGATACATGATCGTCTAAGCGTGTATCCCACATGGCACATAACTGACAGATGTAATGAAATTACATTTTTTAAAATTGTGCATTGAGTACTTTTTTTAATATAACCATTTACCAGAAAGGATATACTTTCTTTTTTGTAAAAACAGTTTTATTGTATTAATGTGGAGTAATGGATAGTGGCTCGGATTGATAAATCAGAGAGCTGAGTTCAAATTCCAGTCAAATCCATTGCATTCACTTACGTCCTAATACCCCTTTGTAAGGTATGAATCCTCTTCTTCTCACCTCCAGCTATGGGTAAATAGCAGGGCAGATCGGGTTCTATAGCCTTGGATGACAACTGGTCTACCGCAGAAAGAAATAGCAACCTATTGCAGGAAAAAAATCTGCCTCGTCAGTCATGTATCAAAAGATATGTGATCGCCTAAGCGTGTATCACGCATGGCACATAACTGACTGACTGAAACTTCACAAGTCCACTAATTGTTAATGCCTTTTTTTTTAATATTGATTGGAATTTCCTACCAAACTTTTTGTTTTTAAACTTAACAGATTTCTTGTAGGATTATTTTCTCTTCCAGTTACATGTGTAACATTGTTGCTTTTGGAAGGCCAAAGGAAAATAATTCGATTGAAACCTTATGACAATAACAACAAAGATCAGGATAATAGTCTGCTGGTAAATAGTGTAAATAATGTCGTCATTATCCCAGAAATTAAGACAGAAATAAAATAATTATTTTTTCAGGGATCTGGGAAATTGTGCAAAGCAAAAATATTTTTAGGGTCAAAATCCTTCGGATTTATGTCCAGATAAATAGTTATGTTGTACGTAGTTCGCTTACATAATAAAACATGGCATTTCCAGAAAAAGATATCAATATTTTGAATAAAGATATTACGGTGGAGTAATGGATAGCGGCTCGGAGTGAGGAATCGAAGAGCCGAGTTCGAATTCCATTCAAACCTATTATATTCACATACGTGCTAACATCCTTGGGAAAGGTATGAATCCTCTTCTTCTCTTGCCCCCAGCTATGGGTAAATAGTAGGACAGACCGGGTTCTATAGCCTTTGGTGGCAACTGGTCTACTGCAGAAAGAAATGGCAAGCTATTGCAGGAAAAAATCTGCCTCGTCAGTCATGTATCGAAAGATATGTGATCGCCTAAGCGTGTATCACGCATGGCACATAACTGACTGGCTGAAGATAGATACTAGTGTGAAAAATTGTCTAGCACGACACAGTGAACCAATTTTACTAGAAATTGATTAAATTTTAATGTCTCCACTTTATGTTAACGGAAAACGTTAGCCGGAGAAGTCGCAAGGAGTCACTCTCCTGGAGGTTAGCAGCAGCAACCGTAAAAAATCTAATAACTAGTTTCCACCGTCTCATTCGAAGCAGTCCCCGTGGGCAATACAGAGTCGAAGTAAGATTACGTGCTGTTCGCACTTTTCAAATTCTTACGTTATCACCGAATTCAAATTTAAATTTGTGAATTATACGAGGCGGTAACAGAAAATTTTCCGGATAAGACAAAAAAGAAGATTCACGTAAAGAGGAAATGTCCAGCATCACACTACATTTGACAGAAGGTTACTAAATGAGGTTGTTGCAACAGTATACAAGGAGAGAGAGAGAGAGCGCAAGAGGTGAAGTATGAGGATATAAATGAGAGATAACAGTTGGCCCTAGACTTGAAGAGGTTAAAATTGCAATAATTTGGAAAACATCCTCTCGGGAGCCTGTTCCACAATACTAAAGCTGTTAGAATAGAATTTACTCCTTACAAGTGGAATATGAAGAAGATGGGGATGAGCAGACCCTCGGTACGGAGCAGGGTTGGCCCTAACTGTGAAGGTCCGGGACTGGTACTAAGGAATGTAGTTCGGTCAAACATCAGCCATAAAAAATACCGATAGAGTAGCGAAAGACTAACAACGGCCCGTCTGTGGGAAACAGGTGGAAAAAAAACTCATTACCCACAAGGCCGAGTAAGCGCTTTTGAGTAATGTCTGGAAAGTGCGGATTGAGTAGCTCGAGGCCAGATATGGAAGCAATACTCAATATTTTGTCTGATCTGGCTTTTGTAAAAGTTCAAGACCCCCCCCTCACATTTTCTGGTGTTTTTCTCGTGGACTATCTTTACTCGTCCCCCAACGAGGGTGTCATGTGGCACAAGGCCTTTTTAACGTGGGCATTTCCGAGCCATTAGGCTCGGCCAAAAAATAGCCCATTTGAACCCGTATAAACGGGTTCAGGGCCGGTTTTACCTCCCCGAAGGAGACTCCGCCCTTCGGCGTAGCCTCCTTCGGGTTCCTCTCCGTCCGTAGACAGAGAGTTGAACCGAATCGTCGTTCAGAAAGTGGACAAATAACTCATCATCTTGAACCAACCATATTTTCCTTTTGGTGCTACCACTTTGGCCTGGTTATTCTTCGGCCATCCTCACGTGTACAATTCATATAGAAGAAGAGGTAACTTTACTTCTTTTTTTTTTTAGTTCATGTCCTTCAATTTAGAATGTACAAAAAGAGTGTATACTTTCAGACAGATTATTACGATGACAATTTAAACAGATGATGGCGCGATTTCTCTTGTTACATCTAAAAAGCCACAAAACTGTCTTATCTCGCAATCTGAATTTCCGAGACACAAAATGAGGAAGAAAGGTATGGAAAATTTATCGCTTACAGTATCTAGTATTGCGCATAAATTTATGAAAACAATCTACCATAGAGGAAAGTTCGTCAGAACAATTACCAGGAAAATACATTACGGTGGTGGAAAAGTGACAGAAACCGAGATGCCAGGTCAGGACCAATAACATTGTGATAATTTGTATAAGCATATCAATACATCCGGGTCTGCGATAGTTAAACACTGAATGTAAGTGTCTAAGATTAATCTTAGATATTCAGATTTCCACTTGAATGTTCTGGAAATGATATATACATTCTTCTTAATAAGTCCTTACATCACTCCTTCGGTAAGCTGAAGGAGTGGCTTCTGAGCCTGAATGTTGTTTACTTTCGTTCTGTGTTGAACAGTTGGACAAATTACTTACTTTTCAAACCCAGTAGTTAAAATATTCTCAATGATAACTAATCTTTATAAAATACAGGGTGTATCAAAAATACTTTTAAAAACGGCGGTTTCCTTATACTCAAATCCTTCATTTTTGAGTTATTAAGTTTAAAGAAAGTTTACGGTAGATGACGTTGTTTGCATGTAGACTAGGTTACATTTATCATTCGTGTACATTTGTGGCTAGTCTGTCTTCAATGTTTAACGTGCGTATTAGTGAGTTAACTGAGAAGGGTCCGTATAACAATGGCAGGATATTCATATAGTGGGAAGACAGATATTATTTTTATATATGAACGCACGAATGGTAATGGACGCGAGGCTGCACGGCTGCATCAGATTGCATTTCTAGATGGAAGGCAGCCGAGTCATCCAACCTTTGCTGCTGTTTATCGTCACGTTGCAGAGACAGAATCCGTGGCACCACAAACTGCACATTCTACAGGCTCTCGGATACGATCCAGGTATCAGCACACATCATGCATCCCAAGCATGTCGTACATCTCATAGTACCGTATGGGAGGGTAATTCAAGAACAGCACCTGTATCCGTATCATTTGCAACGTGTACAGGGGTCTTTCGTCCTCTGATCACGCACCATGGGTGAACGTTCGCCGATGGTTTATTGCACAACCTGCCGATTCGTTGTTTGTCTCTTCAATCTTGTTTACGGATGAGACAACATTTGGAAGAAATAGAATAACAAATTTACACAACCAACATTTGTGGGCAGATCGGAATCCCCATGATACATGCTAGACACTAGCATCAATTTACGATTAATATGTGGACTGGAATTGTAGGTGACTGTCT